CTCAACATCTCTCGCTACTTCTAAACAGATAAATTTCTCAGCAAACTCAAACACATCAAAAATGAACTTCTCCATTTTAATTCCATTAGGTTCATTTGGTTTCTGTCGTACACCAGTGTTGTCCACATAGGGAATCTTTTTCTTTGCAACATGCAGTTTCAGTTTAGACTCATAATCGCAAATCTTAGAAAGGAAGTCTGAAGAGAAGTAGTGGTTGCAAATGTTTCCAGCGGAGAATGTTAAACGCCCATCTGGATTTCTACGCTCAGCTGCTTCATCGGTAAGTTCAGAGTATTCAACAACTTTGTAATGTCCATTCACTCTGCACACAACACCAACTGGCTCACTTGGTGTAGATTTAAGCACCACCTTGGCTGCACAGTCGGCATCCTTACTTTTACAATATCCTATGAACACTGGGTCTGCAACTTTTATGAGGATATTGTCAACAGAATGAGCATGTAAATGCTGGACACCTCTTCTTTTTATATCATCCAATACACCTTGAGTCTTAAGTGCACGATATAAGCCTCCATTCCCATCAGGTGCTGATGAAAGATGGTATTTCTCATCCAAAAATATTTTACCATCAAAATCAAAACAAGGGAGAGTGCCCTGCTCAAAGAACATAACATCTTCCTCATTTAGTCCAAAGTAAGAGTGGTCCTTAAAATATTCTGCCGTCGGGCCCATAGTGTGTTCTGATGTCATTATATACCAGGTAATCTTACCCTCTTTTCCTGCACTCTCAGCAGCCATCTGTTGTACTCGAAGTATTCTTTCAGCCTGAATTTGGAACAAAGTTTTCTTGGACGGCAACCCAACATTATACATTCCCTTGGGATGACCAAATCCAAGTCTGGTAGCTTGACCGCCCGCTAGTAATAAAACACCAACTTTGCCTTCAGAGATTTCTTTGAAACCAATATTTTCGTATTCTCGGATTTTATCGTCGGTTAAGCCGGGCACAGACTCATAGTGCGATTGTGGTATAGGCTTCAAATCGTCATCAGTCTTCTCCAATATTACTTTGGTGCTCTCCATCGCTCTTTGAAATAATGCATTAATTTCGGCCATGTCCAATTTCCTGATTTCTCCCGCCAATTGTTCTTTTTCATTTTCACTTAGTTCCGGCCAGTATTTGATAAGGTGCTCTTGACCATGAGCGGTCAAATATTCCTTTAAATTTTCGTATGACATTACGAAGTCGTGTACTATACTAAAATGTTAATACAGTCCTGCGAGCGCTATCTTATCAGGTCCAATCGCCGCGATTAGAAAGTGAACACTGGCTGTTGGTTTCGTTGCCGACATTTCACTGTTTATTCTCCCACCACGGTATAGCGTACAGCCGCCGAAAACACGTCGACTAGGACCTGACGCTGTTTATTTACATTCAAGGTTCTACATTATTATGTCTAAGTTTTTAACTTTACACTGCCCTTTTTGTAATAGATGTTTTACAGTTAAGCGAAACAAACACAGCAATGTAGAACTAAACAAAGTTATTTGACATTTTACGTCATTACCTTCATGTATTGACAGATCCGTTTGAAAATCAAAGTCTAAAATTAAGTTTAGTTTGTAATGTTTTATTGTTCTACCATATCTATAAAAAAATACAAAACGAGTAATTTTCTGTTCTTAGCAATAAAAATGAATTTATTATGGATAATTAAAAGCGTTATTATTTTTGTGCTTAAAATTTGAAAGGTTTTTAAGCAAAAAAAAAAAATTCCTGGCACCATTTTATTTCCTTTTTTTGGCGATGGCTTTAAGGCCTTCATCCAAAGGAATGCATCAAACGATTTATTTACATTTTAGAAAATATAAATACGATAACAAACATCTTCACATGATGATGTGTTATATGATGTCTTAAATAAATACGATAACAATGATCTTCATATGATGATGCCTCAGATTGCGATCATTTTGTCATATTTTGAGGGCAGCTTAAGTGAACGAACAGCTGATGATGATTTTATGCAAGGTTCTCAAGAAACAGCGAACAAAATATCTTGAGGTTTACATTACTATCGGAGCACTTGTTTCATCATTTTTTCTGATAACTCTCATGCGCACACCTAATGTACTTAATCCCACCATTTTCAAAACCGTGATTTTATTCCCTTGGCAAAAATATATATAAAGCATTAGTGTTATCGTTACGTGCTGAGACCTGTTACAAATATTTTTATACTTTTATCAGGAAACATAAGACATTAAGATAGGATTATAAATGTTATTACTTGTATAACAATCGCGGTAAGGGTGTGTGTAAGCATTGGCGTATGGCCGGGGGTTGGCTGGGTAAAAGGCCGTACCCACCTAAAGATGTTGGGTTCTCAACCCAGAATTAAAATTATAAAAAAGTTGATTTGTGTAATCAAAATGAACAGGTGTCATAGAAATGTATTGTTTTTGTTTCATTTCATCCATAAAATACCGTGTAAACTAACAATTTGCTGGCAGACAGATAATTTGGTTTTAGGCCTAAGAGATCATGTAATGACGCCTTGCACCAATAGACAGATTATGTCACAAGTAATCTTGACAATGGTATCTACTCAATTGGGATCTTTTTAGACCTTGCCAAAGCATTTGATGATATCCCTTATTTGATAATATCCTATACTATTGCAAAAGCTTGAAACACTTGGCATAAGGGGAACTCAACTTCAACTTTTTTCCGATCACCTCAGTGATCACTCTCAATGTGTAAAAATCGGTGAGAATACAAGTACTGAATCACAAAGTAGCTCTTATGGAATAATACAGGGCAGTATCCTGGGGCCTACATTGTTCCTAATTTATATAAATGACTTGTGCAATCTTCAACTTCAAAATGGTGTCCTAATGTCGTATGCGAATGACACAGCCCTATTGTTCTCAGCCAAATCACGTGGTGAGGTTTATAAATAGCTCAGAAAGGCTTTCACGTAGTATCTAATTGGCTTCTTAACAATTTACTAAATTTAGGCGCAGATAAAACACAATATATATTATTTTTAAAAAGAAACAATAATGTACTTAGTCACCTCAATATTTACACTCATAATTGTATCTCGTACGTTGACACAGCATGCAACAGACAATATAAAATATATAGGTATCACGCTTGGCACAAATTTAATTTTCCGCAAGCATATCGATTTAATATGTGTTAGAGTTTGTAAATTAATATGTGTTTTTAAATATCTCCGTAACATCGCTGACTTCAAATTGATGAGACAGGGCTATTTTGCGTTGTATCAATCCATTCTCACTTATGGTAAGTATATTACTTCCTGGGGAGGTGCTTCTAATACAATATTGCTCCCACTAGAACGTGCTCAGAGAGCAGTTCTAAAGGTAATCACTTTCCGTCGATTCATATTTCCTACATATCAACTTTACTTGGCATGTGGTGTACTAACTAACCGTCAGTTGTTTATGCTGAACATCATATTAAAACAGCATACCTAACTTCCATTTAACTTAAGATCCATAGGCAGGAGAAGAATGAACTTAGTTTGTGTAAACCATCAAACCAAACACGCATTTTGCGAACAGATTTTACATATTTTTACGACTATTTCTATATAACAAGCTCAACAAGTCACTAAAGATATATAGTGTAAGTTATACGGAATGTAACATTATTAGAATTTCTGAATAAATTAAATTACGAAGACACAGAGAAGTTGTTAGAAATTCTAAAATAGTTTGTATTAATTGTATGTAACAAATAATTGTTATTAAGTTATTTTATTTATTATATAATACAGTTTCATTATTTAAATTATCAAGTTTTCTACATTATTAAACCAATAGTGTAAGTAATGGTCTAAAACACAGGTACTCAACTAGTTCAGACAGGTGGCTAATAGTATAAACCTGACTTTTCAATTTTTCTTTTGTAGATTCTATTATTAAGCTACTCATAGTTTTAATTCTATTATAGCATGTTATTTTTGTTAGACTAAAACTTTATTTAATTGTAATCATATTTGTCCATATTTAAACATGTGTAATTGGAAATGAAATAAAAAATTATTTTGAACATCGAAAAAGCACATAATATGGTTCAACAATCTAAATTGAAATTATTTTTATTTATATTTCATTCGGGTTCATTGGTCATCACTTTTCAGGAGCCATGCCATCCTGGAAAATATCTTAGATCACAGTAATGGGTGTAGAGGATGTATGAAGTACTTTTGTTAATAAAAAAAATAAAAGTTAAATCAAAAATAACATAAATTTTTTCTTATTAATAATAACATTTTAAATTCTAGCAACTTACCTATTTATAATCCAAGTTCCTAAAAATAGCAAAAAATGTTTATTCTACAACTGCTATATATATATTCTGTGGTATATTATTTTCAGTTTCTCACCCAATGCGGGGATTTTGGCAGGAACTTGACCGTTAACGGATTGTTGCTCCTGTTTTATCGTTAAAATAATGGTTGAAAGTGGACTTTGATACAAAAAATTGATGCCATTTTATGTATTAAGTGTCTGCGCAAATGAACTATAAGAGAAAACGACGAAACAAGTGCTTCGATGTGGATATAACTCCTCTAGTTATTTTGATCGCTTAGCCACCTTATAAACCTGGGTGACTGTCGTCATCGACTGTTAGGTAGAGCCATCACCAAAATGTCCCAAAAATTTTGCAATGTGACGCATCAGCATATTGAGAAGAAAAAAGTATATAAAACGACAATCCCGAATGTAATAAAGACATGGCTTAAAAGACAAGCATCCAAGTCAAAAACTTAGTAAATAAAAACTATCGCCCATGCCAGCCCTACTGGCTACAGCCCAATAGGCCCAATGCACGCCCAATGCCCATGCGGCATGTCTGTCAAGAGATGTCAAATGCATCCTTTAGACATGTTTGTTATTTTTTATTAATTGTTGTCGTTTGTTTATTAAAATTAATATACGGTACAGTGCACTACGGCATTTATGTGTTGAAATCATTAGTTTATTACTTATTCGGTGTTAATATGATTGAAAACACTAAAAAGCGAAAGAGAAATCCAAATGCACAAACCGAGGAAACCGTTGTTCAAAGAGGTATTATTGATGCAAATTGGCGAAAATTACTAGCAAATAGCTTACTAATGGATAAAGGTAATGAAAAACCTGTTCAGAAAGACCAAAATCAGCAATATACCGGTACGTTCCGAAGAGCTAGAAAGAAAAAAGCTAACGACCCCACCACTTCCAATTCTGTTCATAATAACCTAGAAACATTGCAAATAAATAATGTACCCTCAAAACTAGATAATTCTGTCTCCTTGAACGCAACAGGAATAAAAAATAATGTAACTATTTCAAACCGTGAAATGAAAAGTCCTTGTAATAAAGACAAGAAGGGTTCACTAACGAAGTTTATTGCAATGGATTGTGAGATGGTAGGAATTGGCTATGACGGTGGTGACCATATGCTGGCACGTGTGTCGCTTGTAAATAAATTTGGCGACTGCATTTATGATAAGTTTGTGAAAGCAAGGGAAGAAGTAAAAGACTATCGTACAGATATAAGTGGTATCCGAAAAGAAGATCTAATCAATGGCGAAGACTTTACGGTAGTTCAGAAAGAGGTGGCCGAGATTCTGCGAGGTCGAATTCTGATTGGCCACTCCTTGAAGAATGATCTAAGCGTTCTCTTTTTATCCCATCCTAAGAGAAACATAAGGGACACATCAAAGTACAAACCATTTAGGAAGGTAAAGGTTTTTAATAATTTTTCACCTAATACATATCAAAAAATATTTGTACCACCACAGCTGCCATTTGGGGGTGGTGGCATTAGAAAATCCTACTACCCTATTGCACCCTTAGGTGTTGTGACAGATGCTTACATGACTTGTCATAAGGTCTTATGGCTTCCTATAGGTGTTAGTATAACCCCTCAACTGGTGCACCTACGTGCGCCATAGCCCGTGTCTGGCTCCTCTGGGCATGATACGGGGCTGGGTGGGAACTAATATATTCTTATGCAGATTTCTCGGTAATTTCTTCGCGTTGTTCATTAATGATTTATTAATATTTATATCCTTAAAATAATTATAGGAATATGAGCATTCATTTTTAATTACATTAATACATGCTCTATTTCTTTCTTCTTTCCATTTACCACTTATGATTAAAAAAAATCATTCCGTACAACTTACTTATTCCAGACTTACAATCATAGTTAATTTAAATAGTGCGACAGTTGAATTAGGGATAAAATTATCGATAAAATATTATAGTATTTTTCTATAATATAATACAGTACAATTGACTGAAATATAGTATGATACTATATATTATAGTACAGGTGACAAGCTATTCTGAATATTTCATATTCAATAGCTAATAAAAATTATGTTTTGGATACTGCATTTCTCTGTTTGTGCTGCAGATATGAGTTCTACAGATTTTCTTTTTATTTTGAATATATTTTTATTAATAATTTCAAGTACAGCTTTATTTTATAAAATTTTTATTAAAGTTTAAAATGTAATAAAGTAAGAGTAATAGACTTAACCCAATGGATCAGTAAGCTAAACTGACAACTGATGAGGAGGAAAGGTTCACAAACTACAACCTCGCACCAGTAAGGATGGTGTGGGATGGTTATCCGTTTGGTGAAGTAACTATGACATAAAACATGTTGAAAGTTGATAGATGCTGGTGGCTTAGGAGCGTGGTCCATGGCATTCCTTAGGCTGGTTTTAGAGCTCGACCGACTGTTGGTGCGTACAATACTTTGTAATGTTGAGTGCTCTCCTGAGCATCTAAACTGGCCGGACTGGTACAGTCACAAACATTTACACGAAATGGACGCATTTACAAATTGTTTAATTGCTGCTTACTATGTACGTAAATGTATAAAGAACATAAGACTTTGGAAACAAAGCTGTACAAACTTCTTTCCAAGCCTTTAAATTGACATCAAGGTCTTTGTATAATGTGTGCCTTGTCCCACACGTGGCCTTTGTCCCACAGAAGTTCACGGAGACGGACTTCAGTATTAAGGTGTTCGGTGTCGACATATGCCATGTTTAATAAAAATTACTAAAATCACTAACACTACTTAATACCTATAAAATCATATAATATTATTGAAGTTTAGGTTCGATTTTCTTGACGATGATACACGCATCCGTACGGTCTGTCCACCGATTGGTGTACCACTGAACGCGTTAATATGTTTCCATAGCGCGTTAGCCGACTGAAGGTACGCATGCGGACGCGCTCAACGGACGATCCTCGTATGCAGTGTGTAGCAATATACGCATGCATACGGTCGGTCGAGCACTGTAACGACTTGTGAATTTTCATACAAATGGCAAGCGCGACCGACGTATGCACCGACGGTCGGTCGAGCTCTATAACCGGCCCTAGGTGACGTCTATGTTCTGGACTCATAAAAAGGTGATACGAATCCAGATGGACACAACTACCTAGTAAATGATAATTACTTCTACTAATGATAACCAGGTGGAGATAAAAAGAACTCATCATTTCAATTATACTTTTCAGATAACAAAAGGCAGCACTCCATCTTTAAAACGCTTAGCAAAAGAAATCCTTGGCATCGACATCCAGCATGGTGAACATAGCTCGGTGGAGGATGCCAAGGCGGCCATGCAACTCTACTGCACAGTCGCGAAGACGTGGGAACGGATGATGAGTGAAAAGCGAGGGTACAACAAGAAGATGGTGGATGAATGATATTTAATCTTGTGCGTGACTGTTAAATCAAATTGGTTGGTTGTTCCAGATGTGATAAGAGAAACATATAAACAAACTACAGTGCGGTTGTGTCATACCTGCATAACCTAACTGTTAACGTAAATATTTTTATATGTTGAAAGTCTTAAATATTGAAATTCAAAGTTGTCAAAGTGTTCTGTTTAAAAAAAGAATTAAGAAATTATATGTGTATGTTGTTATTACTATACGAAATGTTGTTATAACGAGACCCACAGCGGTGATAGTAGTGTAGTGATTGGGGTCTTCTACGGTTCCTTCGGCGCCACGATTTGAAGGCAGATTCGCATAGATCTCGACGAGAATGCGCTGAAAAGTAAGAATAAAACTTTCCGATGTCTCGCTTAGTTTCCGAGATATCGATAATCAAAAATCGAATACTAAAACCGTATTAGTACGCCCCGACTCCACATGGTCTCGTCTGCCCTACTCCTAGAGTGTTTTTGTAAAGCCGTAGGCACGTAGGTAGAGCAGCGCTCGCCGGCTACAGCAAATAGCAGGCGTCTGTGCGAGCCGTAGCCAATAAGCCGAAGCTCCGGAGGTAAGCGTGGGTGCCTGCGATTTGCTACGTAAGTGCAAAGGGGCTGCACTTCTCGCAGCACAGATGCCGTTGCAAAAGAACTTTGGGTCAATATTCCTGTATAAAAAAGTAATCTCGATATTTCGGAAACCAAGCGAGATATCGATACATTTTATTCTTACTTTCGTCGTATCTCGCCGAGATCTGTGCGAAACCGTCTTCAAATTGTGGTGCCGTAAACACCGTAGTCGTGCCATGGTGATTTCGAATCCCGAGTCAGGCCAAGCACCCTGTACCTGATATATCTCCGTTCGTATCAGATTGCAGTAGACTGCAGTGTGAGTGTGAGGGAATAGAAGAGAGAAATTGTGCTTTTTTATAGGAGAGGGGGCAAACGAGGACGCAGCTCACCTGATGCAGGTAAGTGACTACCGCCGCCTATGAACAACCGCAACACCAAAGGAATTGCAGGTGCGTTGCCGGCCTTTTAGAAAGGAGTAAGGTCCCCAAGTCGTATCGGTCCGGAAAAATTGCCGGTGGTAAACTATTCCACAGAGAGGTTGTACGCAGAAGAAAACTCCTTTTGAAATGTACAGTTGTGGACCGCCAAGCATCCAGATGGTGTGGATGGTATCGGGACGTTTGCCGCGTAGTGCGTTCACGAAATTTGGCGGCTTGAATTAATCCGAACAATTCCTCAGAGCACTCTCCATGGTATATACGAAAGAAAATGCAAAGAGATGCAACTTCTCTTCGCAGCGCCAGTGAATCGAGCCGATCGGAAAGCACTCGGTCGTCGACGATTCGAGCCGCTCTGCGCTGGATGCGGTCAAGTGGAATGAGCTGGTACTGGGGAGCCCCAGCCCAGAGATGGGAACAGTATTCCATGTGCGGCCGAACCTGCACCTTGTAAAGTTGCAGGCGGTGTGCAGGTATGAAATACTCCCGCTCTGCTGAGCACGCCAAGTTTTTTAGAGGCCAATTTGGCCTTCTCTTCCAAGTGACCACGAAACTGCACGTTACTCGAATGTCGACGCCGAGGATTCCGATACTGGCTAAGGAAACACGGGGAGTGCCTTGAAACTGAGGAGATACGACAAAGAAGTTCTTTTTAGCGATTAACGCGCAACTTGTGTCTTCTGGGGGTTAAACTGGACTAGATTTAGTCGCCCCCAATCCGAGACTCTGTTCAGCAGAGACTCGACTTCAGACACAAGTTTGTCCCGGTACTCGGAGACGTTTTCGTTGCCAAAATAGACGCAGCCTTGTGGAACACAGCATAATAGGCGCAACGGATTGCACCGTCTACAACGACCTTGATGCTCCGATCTGCAAGAAAGCTGGTGATCCAATCGCACAATTTCTCGGGAAGCCCATAGGAAAGGAGCTTCGAAAGAAGCGCTTTGTGCCAAACCCGATCGATGGCCTTCGCAATGTCCAAACTAACGGCCAATGCCTCCCCCCGTGGACTCTACTGCCTCCGCTCATCTATGAGTTAGGTAGACCAGAAGATCACCAGCTGATCGACCACGGCGAAAGCCGTATTGGCGATCACTAATCAGCTGGTGATCCTCAAGGTACCTCATGAGCTAACAGTTTACAATGGACTCCATTGTTTTGGAGAACATATACGTGGTAGAGCCATGCTGCAGTTATATTAGTAGTATAGTTGTAGCACGAATGGGTCGGCTCGACCGGGGAAGGACCACGCTCTCACAGAATACCAGCGTGAAATAGTAGCTTAATGCTGCTGTATTTCGTATGGTGAGTGTAGAGAACCGGTGACCCTTTATGCTGGAAACGAGGCATTCCATCTTAGTCCTCACGGGTGACAACGTATCTGCATTGATTCGTAATCGTGGATAGATGTAGATGTCTATGGGCCACAGCAACCACTTACCATCAGGTGGACTGTGTGCTCGTTTGTCACCCTATCCTATAAAAAAAAAAGAACAAGGATGTGATGGCGATAGGTCGGTAGTTGGACGGGTTTGAGCGGTCGCCTTTTTTAAGGATCGGGTGCACAAAAGCCGTCTTCCATGATTTTGGGACTACGCCTAGGGAGTAGGAGTACCGGAAAAAATTCGTTAAAACCGGTGCCAACTCTGGAGCACACGTCCTCAGCACAATTGGGGGGATTCCGTCAGGCCCACTCGACTTGTGGATGTCCAGGGAGTGGAGTGCTTTGCGAACCGAGCGCTGTGTGAACTGCATTTCCGGCATGGAGCACTCACACCTCGGGATGGTCGGCGGCGTACTCTACCCGTCATCGAGAGTCGAGTTGTACGCAAAGAAAGAGCCTAGCAGATCGGCTTTCTCCTTTGCGGTATGGGCCAGTAAGTCGTCCTCCATGTGCAGAGATGGAAGAGATGGCTGATAGAAATTCCCCTGAACAACCTTGGCGAGAGACCAGAATGCACGGGTTCCAGAAGGAAGACGAACTAGTTTCTCGCCAATTCTGTCTATGTGCTCTGACTTTGCCTTGGCAATGACTCTTATGAGGGACCTAGAGGCGGAATTATACTTCTTTTTAGAGCGCTGGTGTTTACATCCCGGGACGTTGATGCGTCAGCCCAGGCTTGGTAGCACTCCTGCTTATAGCACTATTTTACAAGAGCGACCAGACCATGGCTGAGATTTGCCTCCAATGGTCACCACAGAGGAAGGAATAAAAAGTTCCATACCCTGAAGTACCACATCAGCGATAGAATCCGCAACAACATTGGGATCGTCCGGCGAGAAGCAAACCCGCCCCCAAGGGTAGGATGCAAAGAAAGACCGCATCCCATCCCAATCGGCTGACTTATAGTGCCAAACACGGCGGCAGCCTGCAGAATGCAACTGCGATTTCAGCACCGTGAGTGGCACCACACTCCGGACAAGACAATGGTCCGAGGAGCCTCAAAGGGCGTCGACGGAAATCTGATATCTGTCTGGGTGAGAGGTCAGCAGAAGGTCCAACAGGGAAGGCGCAATATCCTCCACATCTGGAATCCGCGTAGGCGAAGTAACCAGTCAGACCATATGCCAAGGCAAAATCATGAACAGATCTCCCCGCATGATCGGTTAAACGTGAACCAAGCCATTCGGCGTGATGGGCGTTAAAGTCGCCGAGGATCACGATCTCTGCAGAGGGGATCTGCTGTAGCAACGAATCTGTAGCCATTTGGACGTGGTCGAAGAGTCGGTGTTTCGGCATTACCGCTATGGGGCCTATAGAGGCACCCGTAGACGCGCGGATGGTCGTCGCTATCTACGCGTAGCCGAAGGATGTACAGGTCCGAACCTTCAAGCCTGCCGAGGCGTCGAGAACAGAGACTCTTTGACAGAATTTGACAGAACTCTTTGACATAAACGCAAACTCCAGCCCGAGGCACAAAGGAGTGTTTGTTTGTACCCCGGGTAGGAGAGATACGAGACATCAGCCGGAGAGAACACCTGCGTCTCGGTCGGAAAGAGCAGAGCCGGCCTCGCCGTCTCGAGATGGTAGTGGACAGGGTTTAGGTTAGAGTGAAGTCCCCTGATATTGCAGAAATTCACGGATAGCGTGGCAGGAGTCGCCTTGGTCTTGTTACTCCGTTTGCCCCGAGCAGTTGTTGTCTTGAGTGGAATTTGCCGCCCCCCCCCCCCCCGAATACGCGGGGCAGCCTGAGCACCCACGCTCAGAAGCGGAGAGACATGGTCGTGGACGCTCAGCGAGAGATTCTCCAGGGGTGCTGGTACCCTCCTGGGGTAGTCTATCATCATTTAATTCCGCTACCATGTTGAGGGGGGGGGATTTGGGCCTCCGGTCACCTGCACTCACCAGACGAAACGCGGAAGCAGTGCTTCCACTTCACGCCGGTATTCTGTGAGGTCGTGGTACCACCCCGGTTTGAGCCGGCCCATACGCGCAACAGCAAAACCCGCCGCGTGGCTCTACCACTGTTAAAATCTAATATAAGCCTCCTATTTTTTAAGCTTTTCATTTTGAATTTTGAAAATCTATCAACTTACGAAGGCTACTGCTTAGCTAGACCGGATTGAAATGATACATGCCATAAAAATCTTTTCTGCACACGTTCTAGTCGCTTTACATACACTTCGTAGTGTGGTGACCAAACCGGGCCGCAATACTCCAAAATCGAATGCGTTACGTTCGTTCGATTTTTGATGTACCCCGGGTAGGAGAGATAAGAAGTATCAGTCGGAGAGGACACCTGAGTCTCGGTTAAAAAGATCAAAGTCGGTTTCGCCGTCTCCAGATGATAGTGGACAGCGTTAACGTTTGAATGAAGTCTCCAATGAGCCTCGGTCCTACTGTTCCGCGTGCCCCGAGCGGAATTTCGTCCGAGATGGAAATTACTTTTAAAAGTGGTTTCCGGTTCTCCGCACTTAATTTCACTAATAAATAATACAAAAATAGCACGCTTTCACTTGTGAACTATAAACACTTCTATGT